GTTTTTAATACTTGTATAAAACTATAAAGAATAAATAAGTAAAAAAATTGGATTTACCCGGCCCGAGCCGGCCCAACGGGTGGCCCGACCTATGACCCGGGCGGATGTCCCGGCCTGAATCGGAACCGTCTTTACCTCGGGCCGGTCCCAGGCCCATCATTTACAAACCGGAGGCCCGGCCCGAGTCCAAGCCTAGGTACTTGAATCATTTGGGAACAAACGAACTTACTAATATCCAATTGTTTCTATCATTTTGTCTTTCTCAGTTGGACTTGCTCCATGGTCTTGGACTAGGGATGGATTGGGACGGCTCGGCTCGGGACCCGTCCTGACCCGGGACCCATCTCGTCCCGTCCCGTCCCGTCCTGGTACTGTGTAAGCCCGACCCGTCCCGTCTGGGCGGTACCAGGACCGGCCGGGACTAGGGGCTCGAATCGGCTCTTTATGGGGGGCGGGCTACGGGCCTTGATTTTAGTGGGTCTAGGCCAATTTTTTATTTTTATTTAAGGCATTGGGTTGCTGCTAGGTGGGTTTGGCTGGGTGTTTTGGTGGGATTTGGGGGTGGGGGACGGGGGTAGGAATAAATTCGAATTGACTAATTTTAAAAAAAATTGAGCCGACCCAAACCGGGCTCGACTCGGCCTGTTATCTGTTCAAATTCGGGCCGGTATCGGGCCTTCATCCCATAACCCCAGTCTCGCCCAATCCCGGTCCATGCCTATCTTGGACTGGTTGGGATTAGAATTGGCCAATTCACAAGACTAGATTGGGTCCATTTTTTTTGGTTGGGATTGAACACCGACACTGAACCTGCGTTTCACTAGCGCTAGTCCTAGTTATTAAATTAAGGAGTGGAACCGGATGGTCTGGCCCCGCTTCAATCATAAGTGTATCTTTTTTAGTATTTTTTTGTTTTTCCCTAATTAAGCCATTTGGGGGTAGGGGTGGATGGGGACAAGCTGGCCCGGACCGGTACTGTTTAGTTTCGGTCCTGACCCAATTTTTTTTTTAATTTTTTTGGCATAGGGCTGGCTTCTAGGTGGGTGGGGCTGGGCAGTTTCGGGGTGGAGGGTGGGAGGTGGAATTAATTCGAAAAGACAAAAAAAATTATTTGGAGCCTGATTCGATCCGGCCTGAGCCAGTCCTGATACTAAACCGGGACGGTACCGAGCCTGAATATATTGGACTCGGAGCCCGCCCAAGCCCGTATCGGAACTTGATCCAACCCGGTCCTGCTCCACCCCTATTTTAGGGCATTGTAGCCCCCTCCAACTATTCTTAAATAGGACCCAAGTCAATTTATAGGAACTTAGTTGGTTGTTGAAAGAGAAAAGAAGGGCTTAGGGAATTTTTACTTGGGACTCATTTTAGTACCAGAGCATACCAGACTTAAACATATAAGACTCGATTTTCATAATTATAAATACACAGATATCAAGCATTTATCAAATCATACCAATTCAGACCAGATCAAATCAGTAGATTCCAGTCTAAGTAAAAAGCATCCTATTCACAATTCAAAGAAACAAAAAAGCTTGAAGAACATTAATTAATAGAAACATTATACGAAGTAGTTGAAGCCAGGGGTGGACTCGGTTGGTGGTCTCAAATCGGTTCGTACCCGGGCTAGCTATGGTGAGACCCGACCAGGTTTGGAAAATTGGTCTTGTCCCGAATCGGACGGTTCTGGTCCTCGACCGACCAACTTTTTTTAAATAGTTTCAAACCGGGTGAAAAACTATAATGGGTCCGGGACCGGGACAGGATTGTCTGGGTAGCCGAAACCAACCCAGAACCGGATTAATAATGATTGGGCTTTGAAAAAAATGGGAAGAATTGGGCGGTCTCAACCCAAAATCGGAACCTGACCGACCCGGATCCCTAGCTGAATCATACATCTTTCTTCAAAAACACTGGTTTGTTAAGTTTCTTTCTAGTTTTTTGAGTTGAATAAAAACTTTAAAGAAAATAATTTTGAAAATTACATTTTTTCATAATAATTATAATAATAATTCTCGGATATTTGATTCAGAGACATATATTTTCTGGAGTACTTATTTCAATTTTTGGCACATTGCACATCGCTGTCTTATTTAATATCTCAAGCAATAACCGGTGGGCGTAGCCCAACTGGTAGCGAGGGAGTGCCACAAGGGTTAGGTCCTGGGTTCGAATCCCGACAACTGTGATGAGAGGTGACTATGCTAAATGCTAGGGCCTCTGCAAGTACCGGGGACAGAGCCCCCACTCTTTATCTGTCAGATTGAGATTATAGTCCAATTTACATCCTCCCAACGTACCGTCCGGTCGAGATTGGGGGACCCTCAGGGATGGGATGTCATTGTTTTTTTTAAATATCTCAAGCAATACTTGAGATAAGTGATAGACAATTTGCAAGTCCTCGCAAGTGCACAAGTCAAGGTAGTACATTGCTCATGTAAGGGGTTGAATCCACGGGAAAGTGCAACTAAGAAATTGGAAAACTATTAATAAAAATAAAAGTGAAATCATCTAACTAAGAAAATGAGTTTTGAATTTGTTTGATTTTAAACTGAAAAGCAAGTTTGAATTAAAATGGATGCAATGAATTTAAATGAATAAAAATAAAGTGATTAAAGAACTAACACGAATTTGATTGAGAATTTAGCAAGAGAAAAGATTGTTCAGGATTATGATTCAGTCACTAATTTTTAGCATCTGTGATTTAATCAGTCAATTAAAATTGATGGTTCCTTCTAGGAAAAAATATGACGATTTCGTATGACGTCCAGAATAAGTCACGTATTTTACTTATTAATCATTAGGAAATTATTAATTCAATAGTTAAAATCTATTAATCACAAAAGAACTACGGAAACCCGATTTAAGAACCAAATAAAACCTAACAAGACAGTTGAATTATCTATTCTTTTATCCAAAAGAGCTCGAACTAATAGGCATGACATATACTCTATTAATCCACTCAAACAACTTGTTGAGGTTTATTCCTTCAATCCGCGGATCCAACACGTAATTCAAGGATTTTGAATGGATATTTTAGTGATTAGATGGTGAAACAAGCAAGAAGAGGCCCAATAAGATATCTCAATAAAACTGTCGTTACAAGGTGTGAAGCCGTAGAATCGCTAAGATACGAGTTGCTATGAATGCTATAATGCTAGAGTGCTAAGTTGTCAACCCTTTAAAATGAAATAAATGTTACTACTTATACCGCCAGAGTCCCAACCATCAAATCTTCTGCATTAATTGCGCTTCCCGCCACAATCTAGGTTTCCCGCCAATGGGTGGCGACGATCGTCCCCAGGCATTGGCTGCCTTATGTCCTGTGGCGCATTCCAGGCTGGTGTGCCACTTTGTATCCCATGACATGCGTCTCCTGACAGTTGTCCTTGGAGTGCAGTTGTCTGTCTCCCCCGGTCTGGCGTCCTAGGGCCGAACGTGCTTGTTGGGGACGAACTTCTTTTCTTCCTTGGCTGTTTCCTGGATGTTTCACTAGAGGGCTTGGGGCCCTGGGAACGAACGTCCGGTGGGCCTCAGTGGGTTGATGGGCTGATCCCTTTTGGGCCATTAAGCCAACACAACTTAATCAATCATGTTAAAGTTGACCAAAAATTAACACCACAACTTAAGCAAATAAGAACAATGGATAAAACCCAACCAATTGACATAACTAAAATCACAATTCATACTAAATCATAGCAACTTCATCATAATCCGGACTTAAAGAATTTAGCTACTCAAAAGATATGGGAGTAGAAATCACGATAATCAATTGCAAGTTTCTAATACTCAATATGTGAAGTTTAATGCTCAATGCAAATGTATTGATGCTCAACTAGCAGAACTTACAAGTTTCATATCAATTCTTATTTCTAAAGTATAATACTCTCTCCATCCCTAAAAGGATTGCCAAGTTTGACTAGCACGTATAATAATAAAGTAAAAACTGTGTGGTAGATATTTGTGCAGAGGAGAGAAATAAGAGAAACCACAAATTGATTGATTAAAAGGGAAAGTGACAAAGTTTTTGGGATAACCAAAAAGGGAAAGTTGACAAAGTTATGAGGGACGGAGGGAATATTAAATTAGATTCTCATGCTGGAATTCTTAAGATTTGATTATAGATATAATTAAAGAAGTTTTTATAATAGAAGAAATAAGAAAAAGAAAGTAAATTGGAAGATATAAACCAAATATCACGATGTTCATTATTAGGCACTCATACTAAACAAAATAGGCATGATATTCGGTAAAAGTGCATTGATGTTCATATAACAAAAGTTGAAATTTCAACCTAAATAACGAAAAATGTCCAGCAGTACGGTGCAAGTCATTTAACATGATCTATGATGTTTTTACTTGGACTGAAATTTGCTGGTCTGATCTAATCTGGTCTGATCTGGTCTGGTAAATGTCTGATCTCTATGTGTTTTATAATTATCAAGTTTGGTCTGATCTGGTCTAAACTAGTCTCGTGTGATCTTGGATTTAAAACAATCAAGTAAAAACATCGAGATTTTGCCATTCTTCATCCTCCGACTATTATGTCAGTGACACTTTTGGTACTCAACTTTTAATTTTTCCATTTTTAGTGCTCGATTATTGTGCTAGAGACACTTTTAGTCCGAGACTTCAAAGTTTTCCACATTTAATCGCCTGAGTATTATCAAATTGACACATTTGGGACTTCCACTACGATTTTGGCACAATAAGTGAATGACTAAAAGTGTCACTATCTATCTGTCAGATTGTGATTATAGTCTAATTTACATCCTCCCCACGTACCGTCCGATCGGTGTCGGGGGACTCTCAAGGATGAGGTGTCATCCTTTTTTCTAAAAGTGTCACTATTGCAATAGTTGAATGACCAAAAGTTCACTTTTACTAAAGTTGAAAGATTAAATATGAAAAAATCAGAATTAAAAATAGAAAAAATCAAAATGAAATATCACAAATGTCAATGACATAAAGGATTAAAAACACAAAAACTCTGAAAACATCCTCGGCCTCCTTAATTTTATCAAAGATCAACCCGTTAAACCCTCTCACAAATCACAAGTCCTCCCAACAATGAATCGTGTTACTCCGCCGCCTGATTTTCTATTTGATCCTTAAACCACCGAGTTTACGAAAACGATGGGGTTCTCCGAAGCCACCTCGCGGCTCTCCGTTTCATCCGGCTCTGTTCTCGCCGCCGCAACCTCTCTGGCCGCCTCCGCTATCTTCCTCCGAACCATTGCCACCGACCTCGTCCCGGACGCACTACGCTCCCACATCTCCACGCGCCTCCAAAACCTCTTCAATCGCTTCTCCTCAAAGCTTACCGTCGTCATCGAAGAGTCCGACGGCCTGACGTCAAACCAGATGTTCGAGGCCGCCACGATTTTCTTGGGCACCAAGGTTTCCCCTGCAACGCGGAGAATCAAAGTGGTCAAGCCCGAGAAGGACGACGAATTGATTATCACCGTCGATCGGCACCAGGAGATCCTCGATTACCACGAGGGCGTGAAGCTGGAGTGGGTACTGAAATCCGCGGCCGTCAAAGTCACCGGAAAGGGGGATTCCGGTGCCGCCAAAACAGAGCATAGGTATTTCGAGCTAAGCTTCTGCAAGAAGCACAAGGACACAGTCCTGAAGGTATACCTGCCGTACATTCTCAATAGGTCGAAGGAGATCAAGGAGCAGATGCGTTCTGTGAGGCTGCACACAGTGGATTACAGCGGAACGGATTACTGGAGCTCCGTGGCCTTGAACCACCCAGCGACCTTCGATACAATGGCGATGCCCGAGGAGGTGAAGAAGGAGATAGTGGAAGATCTGGATAGGTTTATAAGCAGAAGGGATTATTACAGGAGAGTGGGGAAGGCTTGGAAGAGAGGGTACTTACTGTATGGACCTCCCGGAACGGGGAAGTCCAGCTTGGTGGCGGCCATGGCCAATTACCTCAAGTTTGATGTTTACGACCTGGATTTAAGGGAGGTTCAGTGCAATTCGGATTTGAGAAGGTTGTTGATCGGTTCTGCTAACCGCTCCATCCTTGTGATTGAGGACATTGACTGCAATGTAGGGTTGCAGAATCGAGAATCAGATAATCAAGTCCCTGAGGATGACAAGGTCAGTCTACTTCCTCTGTTTTTGTACTGTGAAATAAAGAACCAGTACAATTCACGACAATTCGTGGAGAATGTTGACCAATGTTGACTCATTTTGACCAATTCACAGTACAATTCACATCACTCTTATATCCAAAATGAAATGATGGCTTCACTTGGTATAATGAATAAAATACTTGCTGCAAATGACACCGTATTGGTGTAAACACTTTTACTCAAAACTTTCAAACAAGTCTTTAATTGCATCAAAAAAGTCAATCAAGTACCCCACTTTTATACTCCAACCCCGACCGGACGGTACGTTGGGAAGATTTAAATTGGACTATAATCTAATCTGATAGATAGAGAGTGAGGTTCTGTCCCGGTACTTGCAGATGCTCTATGCATATTTTAGGATAGTAACCTCTCATCGCAGTTGCCGGGATTTGAATCCGGGACTTAACCCGAGATCTAATCCTTGTGTCACTCCCTCGCTACCAATTGTGCTACACCCTATATTATGGGCTTTCTCTAAATCGTAAAAAGTACTCCGTAGTAAATTATTGTCATCCTACAATCATAATGACTATATTAATGTCATAATTGGCGCTATTTTTCAATAATGACAGTCATAACTCGTATTCTAGAAAAAACACAATACTCGGTTTGAAATTTCACATTGGGTCCGTTTGGATATCAGCGGGTGTATCAAATCGCTGCTCCTTTTTAACGTGAAAACGCTGCTTTTTGCAGCGGGTTGGTGCGGATCTGCCAAAAAACAAACAGCACCATTGTTTTTACTCGTATTTAGAGTAATTTCCGAATCAAATTTTCAACTTCTACTGAAATTTGAGAAAGTTCTACTTGCTCTTTATCATTTATTAATCTGGAAGGCAGTTCTAGATCTTATACTATACATTATACAGAGTAATCCATGCATGTGAGCGTTAAATAACCATTAATATCGTTTGCACAATCTAGAATTGGTGAATAATACATTACTGTATACACTTCTGGATTGAGATTTTAATGCAATGAGTTTGTGTGTGATTTGTTTGCGGATTGATATGGATGTAGATAACACTCTCCGGGCTGCTAAACTTCATAGATGGATTGTGGTCAAGCTGCGGGGACGAGAGGATCATAGTGTTCACCACCAACCACAAGGATCGTCTTGATCCTGCATTGCTCCGCCCGGGTCGTATGGACATTCACATCCACATGTCCTATTGCACCTTCACCGGTTTCACCACCCTGGCCTCTAATTATCTCAAGATAGACCAGCACCATGATCTGTACCCGAAGATTGAGCAACTGCTTTTGAACGTTGAAGCCACGCCGGCTGAGATCGCTGGTGAACTTATGAAGACTGATGATCCAGACACTGCATTAGGCAACCTTATCATCTACCTTCAAAACAAGTAATCGTCGTCTGCCTTCTTTGAATTAGTACTATTTAACTCCTTAGCGCATTACATTAATCATTAGCTTTGCCTCTTTGCACATTAACAATTAGCTTTTCTACAGAAAATTAGTAGTTTTTTATAAGGGTGATAACTTAGTCATTTATTTTATTAATTTGTTAGATGGGCAATAATTTATGAACAATGTATTTTATTTATTGGTAGTTATTTATGGAGTCTCTAAGATGAGGCACACATTATTGAGAGGAGCTTGTTTGGGAAGTAACAAAATACTATATTGCTTTTGTAATTGATTATATGTATAATCAACTACTTCGTATTATGTAAAATGATCAATCAAAATTAGTTCTTGTTTGAGTAAGTTAGTTGGGAAGTAGTTTTAAACCAATCAACTTTGTTAGAGAGTAGCTTAAAGAAAAACTATTTTCTTCTAGAGTATACTTCCTCCGGTCCTTATTAAACTTTACACTTTGACTTCACACATATTAAGGAAATAAATTTGACTTTACTGTAGAATACACTGTTTGACACTGTTTGGTGTAGATTTGTTTGCCAAATAAGGCAAATAAGAAAATGTAAAGTTCAATATGGGACGACCCAAAAAGGAAAGTGTAAATTTAATTAAGGACCGGAGGAAGGGAGTAATGAGCTTTTTTACACGCTTCAAGTTTTTAAAAGGGAAAAGAGGCAAATAAGGCTACGTACTAACAAAAAAGGTCAAATAAGGTCTTATTTATGAGGCTCTTTCCGTCCTTCGCCATTTGGGTTGGTTCTCGGTGGAATTGTTTGATGAAATTTTTTGAGCATCTTATTCAGTAAGTCTAGTTTACTCATACCAAATTTAAGCTAAAACTTCAATCAGGAAGTCATTCAAATGAATTCTTGAAGATAATTGCGCAGTTAAAAGCGCAGTTATCTTAAAGAATTAATTTGAATGTCTTCTCGATTAAATTTTTATCTGAAATTTGGTATGAGTAAACTAGACTTAATGAATAAGATGGTCAAAAAAATTCATCAAAAAATTTCACCGAGAACCACCCCAAATGACGAAGGCCGGATAGAGCCTCATAAATAAGACCTTATTTGATCTTTTTTGGTTAGTACTGACCTTATTTGTTCCTTTGCCCTTTTTAAAATGATCAATAATTGACAGCTTTTCTTGAAGAGTGTGAACTGGAAATTGGAAAACATGTCTCTAGCCTATCAAATCTAAAAAATTGTGGGCCAAAATAATTTCTATATCGAGCCTATAAATGACAAGAGAGTAGTGGAGACCCTTTAAACCCACAATATAGATGTATAGCACCACATTAAGGTCCATACCGTTTGCAAACGCTTAAAAAAGAGTTTTCCACTTTTTGCCTTAAAAAGCTAAAATTAATATTTAAACGCTAAAATTAATAACTTCTACTTAAATTAATATTTAAACCCTAAAAGCTAGAATCTGCTTTGTATTTTTCTATTACACGAAAAGCACTTATTTTAAAAATACTACCAACTTTAACTTTTCAAAATCAAAATTTTCCCATACACTACCAACTTTTACTTTAAAAAGTTGAAAAACACTTATGAGTAGTGTTTGCAAACAAAGTCTAGTTGGAAACTACACTTTAAACCCAACTGTGTAATATGCAATCTACTCCGTATGATATTGCGAGAAGGTATTTGTTATTTTGTAAATTTTGTTTGATCCTAGAAGTTTTGAAGGAATTAGGGTTTTCTGTTGGATGAATTAGGGAAGTTACGGACCCAAAATCATACTGTAGATGAAAAGAAGATACGGAGTAATTATTATTTGATGCGTATTCAGTCTTTTAAAATATGATTCATTTCAAGTAGGGTTGGAACGGACACCCGTCCTGAACCAGAACTATTTCGGTGGGCAGTGGTCATGGGACCAGTCAGAAGACTGGATTTTCTGGTTCAGGGATAAATAGGAATCGGTACCCTCAGTTTGTATTATCTGGTCTTGAGTGCCCAAATTTGAGACCTGAACCGGCGGTTCTGATGTGGTCCCTAACAGGCTAACGGTTAGTCGCCATAAAAATATAGGCCTTGTTCTAAATACCAAAATGAGCCCCCCCCCCCCCCCCGCATTTGAACAAAAATAAAATCACAAATAATAAAAATTCACAAAGTTTAAGAAAATTAATTGTATCCGAGTGCTCATACAAAAAAACACATGATTTAAAATAACTAAATATAATTATTATGCTATTATTGGAATATTAATCATGTCTGCACTTAGAGCATCCCAATTTCGAGGATCAAATATATCAATTATCAATTATAAAAGTTTCTCCAACATTTGATTTATCATGAATTTCAATACCAGATGCAACGTGATCACTAATATTCTCATCGCCCTCTCTAACAACATCCTTATGAGACTGATCATCAATTTCTTTATCATTCTCAATAGGGAGATCATCCTCTAAGTTTAATAAAAAACACTGAATATACAAGTTTAACTAAAAAACAAGCAAGAATTAACTAGTATAATTTAAACACTGAATCCCGAGATTCAACTATATACACAATGAATATGACGAATCGTTTTTAGGCAACACCCGAGTTGAGTGTTTCATATGTATCTTAGATAAATGGTAGTTTAAATGAGACGAATAGAGTTATAGATTATATATATATATATATATAATGTTATAAACTTGTTTTATACTACCTCCGTCCCGGTAGACTTTGCCAAGTGAAAAGTAGGTGGAAAATTAAACCTGAGCTATATTTTTTTTAAAGAAAAATGATTTTATTCAATAGATAAAGTGAAAATTACAGTGCAAGAAAAAAAGTAAAAGAAAAGCGAACATAAATAAAAAATAAAAAATAAAAACTAAACTCAAGGGAAATCTTAGGACTGTGATCTAGTAGTCCTCATGCTGTGGCGCCTTTTATTCTTCTGAGATTTCCTGACCGCCCTGACCGCCCCTGGAGCCAGGGAACGGTCCGTTAAAATCCAATTCTGATACCGATTCTAGTCTGGTCTGATCACCACACCCATTTTTAAAATCATTTATTAATAGTGCTAACATGTAAAAAAGATTATTTGATGTTTTTAAATTGAATTTAGTAAAAAAATGTTCCACACTTGCAAACTAAAAGAAGTAGCAACAAATGACAAATTCCAAACTATTAAAAATTTAAAAACATTGAACTAGTAAAAATAATACAATGATAGGTATAAAGCCTTTTCCAATATGAAAATAGTTCATAACATTTGAATAATCAACCACAAACACAAGACTTATTCATTTTTGGAGTGGTTGCGTGTTGAATGCTTCGTATTGAAATACCATTGTAGCATACCATAATCTATGTTTCCGTGTTATCTCAAATACAAAATCTTTCAGAAATGAAGACAATATGCATAGAATATGAAATTTGACATGTTCTTATAGATAGCGTAGTGAGCTGACATTACTTCCATATCAAAGATAAGAGAATTTAAGATAAAAATGATAAACACGAAGATAAGAGAGAAGTATTGTAGAATGTAGGACTTGTAGAGGAATATAAGATATTAATTAGATGGTTAAAGTGTGTGAAAATGAGAAGAATGACAGGTATTTATAATTTTTGTTACACCCGTGCTGGTCAAAAGAGCTGTTGATGGGAGGCTTGTTGGTTCCAAAGAGCAATTGGGTGGCCAAGCAATAGGTAAAATACGGGGGAAGGCGACCAGAGTCGGCGTTTGGCATGTGCAGGGTGTTCTCTAGAACACGGCCCCACTTTTTTTAGGGTCCCAAATTTTTTTACATGAATTTCAATATCAGATGCAACGCGATCATCCTCTAGATAAATTTGTCAATTTATCTAAGATACAAAGCATTTAATTTAATTAATTGTGAGTTTTTTTGTAAGGAAACTGATTATATTATAGCAATCAAGCTTAGCAAAGTTCTTCCACCCGTACAATGCCAAACCTCCCAATGAGGCTCCGCATAGCCAAAATGCCCTCCCACTTTCTGACTAGACATAGAATAGACCACCCTAAGAAGAGCGAGACTATTCGCTAACCATATGAGAGATTCGCAGCTTTTAACGGCCAAAAAGCCTTATCGCTTCCACCCACCACAATCTTTTGAGCAAAATATAAAAAGCAAAACGACAACCTACCTCTAAAGTTCATACTGAAAACAAAAACAACATGATCAACTAAAATGAAAAGAGCATAAAATTAATAAAATGCTTCATGGCCTCCCATCTTATTTATTCCCTCTTGCAGTAGTAGGGGAGCTGTCAGATCTGTGTCTGGCGAGCTACAAACTTGTAGCTCACCTCCTCCTCGTTTTTTCCCCCGACATAAAGCTCGATCTCCTCCCCAGTCTGGCAGTCTTCTGAATCCTCCACACTACTGCGCTTTTGCTCGAGGTTCCCTCTCTTTTTGCGAGGGCCCGCCTTCCAAATTGCATTTTCGCCTGCCCTCTTCTCTATTTCCGTTGTTAGATTGGCTGCCCATTTTGCTGGGACAAGCCATTTATTCTCCTTCCATTGCATTGCCCCTTTTGCTACCCTAAGCCAAGGGCCGAAAGGCCTTTCACCGGATAGCTCATTAGCCCTCCTCTTACGGGGACATTGGCTCTCAGCATGACCTATTATTCCACACAAAAAACAGAAACTAGATAGTTTCTCATAGCAAAACCTAACACAGAAGTTGACCCCTTCCTCTTTTTGGAGGAACAATTTCCTTTTCAGGGGTTTCCCCAGATCAATTCGTACCCGAATCCTCGTAAAAGATTCTCACCTCTCAGAGAAATTGTTTTCATCCACTTTTATTAAAGCCCCCAAAAAATTCCCAATGCGTTCCGCATTATCTATGGTGAAATAGCCCACTGGAGTATCATGAACTTGAATCCAGAACTCTGCTTTGTTCAGTGGAATAGACATGGGGATATCACCTTCTTTAAGTCTACCCATAACAATTAAATTTTGATTGAAAAGCCATGGTCCCTCATCTGCTACCCTATTCATATCCTCTTCAT